TACACTTTATCTCTTTTAAGCCCCAAGTTATCAAAATCCTAAAAACCCTTTTCAGTTCTTGTTCGTGAATCAATGGCTGATCAACAACAATAACAATGCTCAACTGCTCAACAAAATGTTCAAATTTCTTCTCAACAACAACATCAAATAGTTCAAGATCCTGATCATTACTTATCTACTATGATAAATCAGTTATCGGTTCTTGCTTAATTAATAGTTGATTTCGAAAACCACTCTGCTCATGGGTTTGATATTTTTTGGAGTTGTTAAGTTTCAAGGATGGGAAACTTATTTTGATCGTATGAAAGGTCCGTTTATCCTAAACTAGTAAAGGATTTTTGGATACATGCCTTCTTGACAAATAGTGGATCTGTTTTCTCAAGAGTTATGGGTCGAAGCATTTGCATCATTGAAGATGATATTTCTAATCTCCTCCAACATGATGATACTGGTGTTTGGTGTTATTGGAATGAGTTTGTTATGGAAAGATGCATAATTAGGCTTATGCAAACATGGTGGCTAAAATTATTACCTTTATCTTCAAAGATGGAAAGGATTCTAATAAAGCAACTAGTATTTTTAATGACTTAAGGGTCTTGTACAAAATTTTACTGGCTGCATACACCACAAGTGTGCAACAAATTCTACAAATCACCTTAATATGGATCAAAAGTATATGTTACACTATTTGTTAAAAATAAAGAAGTTGAATTTACGTGTTATTTTATACAAGTATCTTCAAGACTTGATTAGAATTTCTAAAGAAAGCATTAAAAAGAAGAGGAAGCTTATGGAAGATTAATTACTGACATTTTGATTGGGAGTAAGCTTATGGAGTCTTAAAATCTACAACGTGATCCTAAAGTCATGGTTGGTAGATCTTTCAATAGTGAAAATTTGCTGGCTATGTCTATAATAACTGGTGTGTTTAAGTTGCCTGAATCATTGAATGAAAAGGCTATTTCTTGTAGAAGATTTCCTGTTAATGACTTTCCAGACTTTAACCTTGCAAGATTTCCTGAAATTCATCTTTCCTTGGTTAAACCTGTGATTATTTATGTATCTGCTCCTCCCGTCAAGAAGAAGAAGAAACTCTATAAGAAAAGTTCTTGTGTTGGTCCTTCTAGACATGCAAAGTAATCAAAGACTTCATCTTTTATGAAGAAGGTTCTAGAGCCAGTGAAAAGAGTCAAAACTATTATTCATATGTATGTTCCTAATAATTCACTACTTAAATTTTCTTTTATGAGTTCATCAAATCCCTTCTCTCTTAAAACCTCTACATTGTCTTCTGTATCCATGCCTAGAACAGTAAATATACTAAACCAACAAAATCCAAATATCTCAAAAGCCATTATTTCTAAGCCTCAACCATCTCTCACCAAACCAAATATTTCTGGAGGAACTTCTTCAAAAACTCACTCTCAGCTCATATAACCATGACTCAAATGCACATGTTTCTGCATCTAAATATTTTAATACTGACACATAATTTCTTAACTCTATGTCAGCTAATAATGTCTCTTCATCTATTTTCCTTAACCCCTTCAATATCACCAGACAACCTAAAATCATTGCCTTTCCATACAGAACCCTCAAACCTTACTCCATCCCTTCTAATAATTTTATTTATAGAACAAATGTTTATCTAACCGTCCTTGATGAATTCTTATATCCGTTTGAGTAAACTACTCTAGACACACTGCACTATGCTGTAAAGATTACTTCTGATAGCATGGATCCTAATCAGACCAATGTTATATGGTCTGGTTCCAAAAGGTGGATGACTATTAACTCTAACATCATTCAAGTCTTATACAACCAAGAAGCAAAGAAGAAGCATAAGGATATGCTTGCTGCAAAGCCACCACCTCTTATTCCTCGTTGTATCCTTAGTAGTCATTCCAGAAGAAGATAATGTTTTTGCAATGTATGAACAACCTATAGAAGTTTTTTCTTCTGAGATGGTTGAATTTGTGAAGTCTTCTGTTTAAGATGGTACCCCTTCTAGGATTGTGAAGACTGCTACTACTGCAGAAATGCCACATCAGCTGAAGGATACCTTGGAAGAGTTGAAGAATACAAATGTCATCATCCTACAACATCTTGACAAGCAAGACCAACATATTAAAGAGCATTATGACCTCTCCAACTTGATGAAGGAATTAATTGCAAGGCCTCCTCCTTCACCAAACCCTTAACCTTTTATTTTAACTTTGATTTTTATAACTCAAGTGTTTTCTTTTGTTTCTAAAATTTTTTGTATCTTGGTCTTTAGTTAATGAAAGTTTACTTTATCTCTTTAAATTTTTTTTGACAAAGAGGGAGAAAATAGATGATTTTGATATATATTTGTAATACGATGGGGGAACTAACTTGGGTGTTTTGTATTTTATCGTAATTGTTGCGGATAGCAAGAGTCGCCACATACTTTTATTTTATCCAATAAGGAAAGGGTGAAAAGAACAGGAAATACCTTTTGAGAATTTTTCTTGAGTTTGGGGGGTAGGTTATGTAAAGGGAAGGTGTTAGCACCCTTTTCATCTGTAGTTATCTACGGGCTCATAGTTGTTAGCTCATAGATTATATTAAAGCGATAAATTGCGGAAATTAAAATCCTACGCTATTACATCACTCGGGGGATGAGGTATAATTTACAAATGGGGATGAAGTACAAGCCTAATTAGATTATTACAACCATATTGAATAAATGAATAGTAATGAAAAAGATATAAAAAAAATAAGGTAGTGTAAAAAGAAAGGAAAATTGTCTTTTTAACTTTTATGTATCGACACATGCATTTATGCATCGATACATAACACTTCTTGTTTCTGAAAAATCAAAATCAACTTAGTATGAGTCGATACATAATGGTATGTGTCGACTCATTTCTTGTTTGTGTCGACACATTCGTGTTTTGTGTCGACTCATACACCTTTTGTCTCTCTGTATTGTGTCTGGATAACAATATGCATCGATGCATAAGGCCTTGTATCAACTCATACCTTGTTCTGTAACTAAAATGAGTCGACTCATGTGAGTATGCATCGATTCATGCTACAATTTTTTTACCTCTAACATTATTCTATTGCATGTACAAGACAGTTCTCAACATATAATTGATAAAAGTGAAGAGCTAGCATATGGTTAGCTTCAAGGGAAATGATTACTACATTCTGTAGCGGTGAAAATCGGAGATCAAGCTATTAATTAACTTGACTCACCAAAGCAAGAGTCGCCACCGCGCTTTATTATTTCCAAGGGAAAAGGGAAAAGAGCGAAATAAAACCCTAAAGTATGCAATGTAAAGTAATATTTAAAAGTAATGAAAATACAATGCGTTTTTTAAAAGAGATCGAGAGTTCGGGGGTTGGTTATACAATGGGAAGGTATTAGCACCCAATGCATCTGCGGTACTCCGCAGGAACCTTTTGAAATATCTGTTTTTTTGTTTAAAATTGTTTGTTTGATTAAAATGATTCGTTTGGTTAAAAGATGGGTATTGACGAGATTTTTGAAGATACGACGACCTAGTGTCGAAGTTTTGACTTAAAAGGTGTGAGTTTGAAAATGGGGTCTTTTGGGAAAATTATCTTGAGTTTAGCAAAATAGTAAACAAACAAAAAATGAAAAAGGGTATTCGCACGATCGGATGAGATGTATTTGATGACGTGAAGTCAACAAATTTTAAATCTTTTCCTTGGAGTAAGCAAACAAGCGAAATAAACATCAAATTACAAACACTCGAAAATCCACAAGGAAATAAAACAAATAAATGTAACTAATCATCTAAAAAAGTTATTTGAACTAAATTGAAAAAATTAAGATTACTTGTTAAAATAATTCTAAACTAACTACAAATTTTAAGGTTATAAAAAATAATTCTAAAATTACTAAATTAGATCTAAACTAAATTAAAATTTTAAAATTAGTAAATTACATTTAAATTAAATCGAAATTATAAAGGCATTAAATTAAATCTAAATGAAAACTCTAAAATTATTAAATTAAAACCTAAATCAAATTAAACCTAAACCAAATAAAATTCTAAAGTTACTAAATTAAATTTAAAAAAAATTCTAAAGTTATCAAGTTAAAATCTAAATCAAATAAAAATTCTAAAGTTATTAAAGCTCTAAAATTACTAAATTATATCTAAACTAATTTAAATATAAACTAAGTTAATTATAAAATCACTAAGTTATAAAATTAAAATTCTAAAGTTGTTAAATTAAATCTAAACTAACTTAAATTTCTAAAGTTACTAAAATAAATCTAAGCTAACTAAAAATTCAAAGGTTATCAACATAATTCTAAACTAACTAAAAATTCTAAGATTATTAAATAATTCTAAATTGATTCCATGGTTAAATTACTTAACTAAAACAATGCGATTACTAAATAATTTTTACTAACTAAACTAAATAACTAAAACAAATAAGTTAAGAAATTAAAATTAAACTAAAAAAAACAAATTTTTAACAAAGGGGTGGTTACTGTAAGTTTTTCCTCTTTTTTTTTTTGTCTTAAAAATAAATTTTCTAACCACTTAAATCATGACTAGTGGCATGGAATTTGTTAAAAATAATGAAAAGTAACAACACAACAACATTACATACGGATTGAACATCTGAGGAAAAACACGATTTGCATCCTTCTTCTCTAAAAAAACCAGATCCAAATAATCTTTCAACCTTTCGTGTTCATCCATCTCAAAACATCCAAAAATCTTAAAACATACTTTGAAGAAATGCCACGAGAAAATAAACAAACCTCTTGATGCTGCGATAATGAGGAGATCAGGTGACGATTTCTTGTGTAAGGCGGTACTCAATAAATATGGTGGCAAGTTGTCGGCTGGTTTCGTCGAAGGTTGAGCGCATGAGTTGCGGTGCTGGGCGAAGGCTTCTTGTGGTGATGGCAGGAGCGAAACATGGTGGGAGGTGGAAGCATGTGAAGGAAGGGTTTAGGGATGACTGGTTGGGTGTTGAACTATGGGTTACAGTGGATTGATGGTGTTTGCGTGATGCTGTGGCAGTGAGAGGAAGTTTAAGAACAGTTGCTCGGTGGAAAGTGTTCTGGGCGGAGGATGGATGGTGGAGATTGGACAGAAATAGGTGGTGTTACGGTGGTTCGGTGGATGACGGTTGGTTTGATGCGGACAACTTGCATAATAGGTTTGCGATGAAGGGAGATCGGTGCTGATGTGCGGAGGAACAAGGGATGATAGCGCTGAGGCTGGTACAGAACCATTGTTGAAAACCTGAGCAGTAAGATTTTGAACAAGAAGACGATGATCAACAGGAAGGTTAATACTGGCCTTGATCGCAACAACATTCAAGCTGGACTCACCATCATTTTTTACACCGACTAGCAGCTCGGTATCGTCTCCAACTGTAACCAATTTTGCAATATTTTTCGGAAACACACTTATCGTATCAATCCCCGGAGCAGCAGAAAAGGTTCCAACACTATCAAAGTCTTGAGCATCATCACCAACAATTCCAATATCACTCTCAGTAGTCTCCACAGCTCCACCTGATTCTGACTGACACCTAACAACTTGGAGGAAAGGAGAAGTGGTGAGGAGAAGAGCGAGAGAGAAAATCCAAATGGTGTTGAAGGAAACCATGGTTGTGTGTTGCGATTTTCTCAAATGAAACGTGTGAGTGAATTTTCAACGATGAAAAATAAACCAGATTTGTAATGGGGTTGTTGTTGATCCTATCACTGGTTTTGATATTGAGATTGCCCATTTGTTCTTTTTGCTTGTTGACGTTTTTTTTCTGTAACCAAAGATTGTTAATATGGATAATATGACAAGAATGGATGTTGAAACTGAGGAAACTGTTACGATGATAATCATGGTTTTTGATTTTGACTTGTGTTTGTGTTTCTCTTTGTGAACAGGTTTTGTGTTTTTCACGTGGAGTTGTTGTTGGTGTGGTGGATTTGGTTTTGAATGAATTTTTGGTGTTTTGGATGCGTTGAGGGAGATAAAGAGGTTTCAAAGAAATACTGTCAGCTTGCTTTTTTGCTCTTTTTCTTGTGTCCCCCCCTTTTTGTACAAAGTGATAAAGATGCTTTCAGTAGAGAAAATGAAGAGGAATATTATGATTTCAAAATAAATCCAAGCCGTTCAATATAAATTCGATCTCTATCAATCCGCAAACCATGCTATCGACCAATGAGAATTAAGCACAGTGTAAATAATATATTTTTGTGACCAAATAGCCCTTAAATGATAAAAATGAAATAAAAATTGAAAGTATTAAAATTAATTCAATTTAAAATATATTTTTTTGGAATAAAAAATAAAGAGCTAAAATGACCGAAAACAATAAAAAACGGACGAAAATTTATCCGAAAAAATAAAATGAACACATTAAAATAATCTACATGTCACAAAGATTAAAGAAAAAATATTCAAGAAGTCAAAAATCAAAAATAAAATAATAATAAAAATATCAGACTAAACAGACGTTTAAGGTTAAAAACGAGACTTCGAACTGTACCGAAAAAATAAAGCGAGCATACCGTCATAATCTACGCGAAGCGCAGATTCATAAAATGATCGGTAAAAGGTGAAAACTTGAAATATTTTCTCGCTACTTTCCCGCATAGTGTCGAATCGCTTTTAACAGTCTGTCTATAAAACCGAAATATTTTATTATCGACATAAAAACAACTTGGAGCAGTGCAAGAAAATAGTGAACAGGTAAAAATGAATGATGTGAAACGCCGGTTATTTTACAACTGAAAGACGATGCAAACTTTGATTTAAACTGACTTTTTCTGGTCAACTTAAATACGACTAATGATGCAAAATGTGATGAATGAAGATATTTACTAATGATTGTGACCAAATAACAAAATATGATATGAAAGTGAGACTAAAACATATTAGGGGCGAAATTTAGGGTGCAACAGTTGTGCCTTGATGAATCAATCTTCGAGAATCCACAATCAACCATACTTTTGGCTTGGGAGACTCAAAACCTTAATTGAGGCGCGACACCTGATGCTCTTGATTCAGACCTGTCTCTGCACATGAAACAAAAGGAAACATGAACATACACCTTTGTATGCGATTAGAAATTAGTGATACCTAGACTAAAAATGTTCAAAACACTTGACAATCTTCACATAGTCAAAGCTCGAATGTGAGAGGTTAAAACCGACTGTATTTCGTGACCTTGACTTATCTCAAAAAATGCAAAAATAAAAATGGGATCTTAGGTCAAAAATTGGGGTACAACATATTCTATCTTCACAAGTGAACCAATAATGATATGCGTATGAAAAATTCAAGGTCAAGAAGACTTACCTTGAGACTGCAATTTGTGTTTTGAGTCTGAACACCTTTCAAGATACTGTGGTGATCAGAATGGCTTCAGTGAACCTCCAGGAAATTGCTCCAACCCTTACTTTGTATTGAAAGCTGTTGAATCAACTCCAACCCAGTCAAGTTGTACAATACTGTTTTTTGTTTGTGTTTGGAAGGTGATGATAATGGCACTACATAAACTATTCTTGTGTTTGAACAATCTCTATATGATGTGAAAAATTTGGATAGTTGGTTTATGGGAAAGCTTGCAAGGTGGAACAATGGGTTGAGGTTTTTGTTTTTATGAATGAAGAAAAAGCTGAATATGAGCAAAGGTTATAAAAAGTTCTGTTAGATTTTTTAGATTTCTTTCTCTTTCTCTTTAAACAAAAACCTCTCTTTTCCTCCAAAAACTCTCTCTTTTGTGTGTTGTGAAATAGCTTATTTATAGATGAAATGGACTGAAATTTGGGAGGGAAATAGATAAGTTTTTGAACTGTTTTAGTATATTGTTTCATTTCTTTTTAGATGCAGCTCTTATGTGCTAATTTTGTGCAAATATGGGACTGATATAGTGCAGGTTTGGACAGGGTTAGAGGCAGCATATCAGGACTGTTTTGTAGCAATTTTGGAGTGGAGTGGCAGCTTGGTGCATGGATGGCTTTGTATAGGAAAACAAACTGTTTTTTAACATGGTTTTGGGCTAGTAGTAGCAGGCTTGGACTTGGAAGCATATATATTTTTGGGGCTTTTCTGGACAACAACATTTGTATCATGATACAAGTCTGGTTTCGTGGACAGATTTATGCAACTTGTAACAAAGACAAGGCATATTTGTGGATAGCATAATAGTAAAGTTTGAAGATTGAGTCAAAGGGAAAAGTTCAAACAAGACAAAGTTTAGGATTTATAACTTGAAATTTTTAACTTAAAAATGCAGCCTTGTTATTTATTTGAAAGCTTGTAACAACTTGAATTATCTTGAATTATGGTGAAAAGATGTCATAAAGTAATGAAATTAACATGTATAGAAAACACTTAAAAAATTTCCAAGTCTTGCAAATTTTTATTTTTGACTTTCTTGATTTATTGATGATCAAATTTCATGTTTTGAATGTCTTGAAGAAATGTGATCTTCGAAACTCAAAATTGGTGAGAAAGTTAAAGTTTGACTTTTCAGTGTACAATTGACTTTTTCATCGATTGACCAAATTTCATCTATCGATCCAATGATCTCGGGAGATGAATTGAAATATGAGATTAATTCAAAATGATGTACTTGAACCCTTGAGATCATGTTTCGAGCCAATAAGTCATGTACTGGGTCAAAAGTCAATGATTGGTCATTCTCAATCAAAACCCTAATTTGGAGTCTCGGTGCTTTGGAGATGATTTTATCTGATCAGTTCCTTGAGAATCCTTGAGCATTGGAGATCCTTTGTGAGGAATGTCTTGAAAAAGAGAGGGCAAATTTTGGGGTACAACAGTTGCCCCTGTTCAATCTTCTTAAACCTGAAGGGTTAGATTGGGGAGTCCGCCATTCGTGACTTGAAGGTGGAAGATGATTGAACACTAGAGTGCCCAGAAATTTGCACTTGATGATGTGTTAGTTGATTGTGTCGGAAACGGGATTAAAGATGCCATTTGGAGAAGTGATAAAGAAATTGTTGGAGATGGGCTTGCAGATGCCATTCAGAGTGACTGTTGGTAGAAATATTAAAATAAATCTTTGGTCGATTTAATCTGAATGATATGCTGGAATCGACCCGTGTTAATCCATGTCTGGAAATGTATTAAAGGAAATCTGTATAAGATTGCTTCAGTATGGGTCCGTGTGAAACTGCATCTGGAAATTCATGAGAAGGAGTGTGTGTAGGGCTGCTTCGGGATGAAGTAGTGTGAAACTGCATCTGGAAATTCATGAGAAGGAGCCTGTGTAAGGCTGCTTCAAGATGAGGTCGTGTGAAACTGCATTTGGAAATTCATGAGAAGGAGCCTGTGTAGGGCTGCTTCGGGATGAGTCTGTGTGAAACTGTATCTAGAGATGTATGAGAAGGAGCCTGTGTAGGGCTGCTTCGGAATGAGTCCATGTGAAATTTCATATGGAAATGTTTGAGAAGGAGCCTGTGTAGGGCTTCTTCAGGATGATTTCGTGTGAAATTGCATCTGGAAATATATGAGAAGGAGCCTGTGTAAGTTTGCTTCTTGATGAGCCAGTGTGAAGCTGCATCTGGAAATTAGAAGGAACCCGTGTAAGATTGCTTCATGATGAGCCCGTGTGAAGCTGCATCTGGAAATTAGAAGGAACCCGTGTAAGATTTCTTCATGATGAGCCCGTGTGAAGTTGCATCTGGAAATTAGAAGGAACCCGTGTAAGATTTCTTCATGATGAGCCCGTGTGAAGCTGCATCTGGAAATCAGAAAGAATCTGTGTAAGATTGCTTCTTGATGACCCCATGTGAAGTTGCATCTGGTCGTGTAGATAGTTGCTTTGTCTTGCTTCAGGAACTAATCTTGGACCTGTTGAAAATTATTGATGATAATTATCTGTTGATTGATCTTTCCTGAAAAAGTAAAAAGTTAGCTGTATGCAATATCATGATGTATGGAATGCATTTGTAGTACCCCAATTTTTGCCCCTAAGATCTCTTCGCCATATCATATAAACTCAATTACAACAAAATCACATTAGGGTTTGGTTCTTATCCCTATATTTGACTTTTTTCTCTAGGAGGAGTCACCAAGCACCTTGACTTGTATTTTATGATCATCTATGTTTTGTATTGATTATCCTTTAACTAATAAATACAATGAGTTTTTGCCCCCAATTATTAATGTTGTAGGTGAAAGCATAATAAATTCCATCAAGGTTGATCTAGGATGTTGTACCCCAAAATTTTCCCTCCCATTTTACTCAAGACATGCTCATTGAGGTTCCCAATTGCTCAAGGATGACCAAGAATTGACCAGGAAAATTCTCCTCCTAAGGCAATGAACCTCTAATTAGGGTTTCAATTTTCATCAAGATGTGTGAGCTTCAAAGGTCTAAAATTTTTTCCATGGTCCTAATATGTCTACAATATTGTCCATACCAAATTTCATGCCTTGCACTACAAGTTTGCTCAGTCAATTGCCCAAATGTTTGAAAATCAACTGTATTAGGTCAAAAGTCAACTGTGGGCTATATACATTCAAACTTAAAGATTTTTTTTGTCAAGATCAACATTTTAATGTGATATCCATCATTTGATCAAAGGTTGATCACGATTCCTCAAGAAATGTTCCTAATTTATCAAAAGTTAAGA